AAATTTCTTCTCAGCAACATTTTGTCCCTGTTAGTGTAAAAAACTTGCATATGACCTTATCATTTGAACTGTTCCTAATCCCTGTTTTATGCTATTGTAAATAGTATTTTGCTTCATTTTACAGTTATTCATTTTAAATACAAAAATGCAGCTCATCCATTCCATCCAATTATTTCATGGAAAATAAAATATTTAGCCTATGCTATTTCTAAGACTAAAAGTTAGAGTTTTATAAACTGTGATTCTACTAATTTCCTTTTCATCTTTTAAGTAGATTATTATAAGTCTTTTGGTAGATAGACTTCTTCACACTGTTAAGACCACAATACCTCAGAAAGACTTTTCCTTTGTCTTAGGTCTGTTCTATATTCTTATTTTCCTAATACATGAGTACATCCTTTCTGAAACCAGCACTCTGGTTGTTTTAAAACAGAAAATATGTTATGTTTCTTTTTTCTTTTTTTCAGAGTCTCACTTTGTTACCATCAGAAGAGTTCTGTGGCATCACAGTTCACAGCAACCCCAAACTTTTGGGCTCAAGTGATTCTCTTGCTTCAGCTTCCTGAGTAGCTAGTACTACAGGAGGCCACAACAACACCCAGTTATTTTTAGAGACAGGGTCTGCTCTGTCTCAGGCTGGTCTTGAACTCCTGAGCTCAGCCAATCCATCTGCCTCAGCCTCCCAGAGTGCTAAGATTATAGGCGTGAGACACCATGCCCAGCCTGTTTCTCTTTGAGAAATTCATTGAGCACTTAGAATACATGACATCTTTCTAAAAATGCACAGTGTAATCTTAGTAACTTGAATGAAAATCATATCTAAATTATATTAGATCTCAGTTTATTTTCTAAAATCTGAGTAAAGGTGGACTACTTCAGAGTCCTTCTACTTTGTGATTATGCCATCTCCTATAATCTTGTCATCAATACCTAACTAATACAAAGAGAAAAAAATGGGAGTATTCCTTTTATTCAAAACCTTAATATGAAAACAGCAAACACATTCACTTTAATTTCTAAAATTCAGTTTTATGCTTACATTAAATTACAAGGTAGGCTAAAATCTATAGTCTTGTTACATACACAGGACAGAAAAGATACAGATTTTTATCACCATTTCACATTATCTGCCAGTTTGGTTGGTTTAAGATCTCTTACTCTGAAAGCTAAACATTGACCCAAAAAAAGCTGACTGAATTAAAGAGAAATACCTTGTCCACTCATCTAAGCTACTGTATCTAAAAGTGGAAGCAAGGTCACATTTTGAAGGAAGGAATGATTGCTGCCTTCCAATACTTCAAGGTTAGGGATGAACATACATTCTAAATTTCTCTTTACTTATAATTCTCTCTTATACCAATAGTAACCCTTGCTTATCCATGGGGATATGTTCCCCAGTGGATGTCAGAAACCACAGATAGCACCAAATCCTATATATGCAGGTTTTTTCCCTATACGTACATATATACCTATGATAGTTTAATTAGGCACAGTAAAAAAATTGGCAATAATTAGTAATAAAATAGAACAATTATGCTAGGATCACTTGTAGAGGAATGGACACCATGCTTGGAAGGAGTTACTGATTCTTATTACATTAAAGGAAAACGCTGAGAACAGGACAGTCTACTGGCAAGCCTAGAGATGTTTTGTGACTTAGGGGCAATCCCTCGAGTAACTCAGTGTTCCAGAATGAGATAAGATCGGTCACTTGTTAGTAAGCAGGTGTTAAACATTGATGCTTGGTGCTCTTTCATGGAGGTTGTGGGGAAAGAACATGTGAGGAGAAAGCACGTGGCAATCCTTAGCCATGCAGCCCTTGTATGTCATTACTTTAACTCTCCACACCCGTTGTGTATAATCTTAATAAACAGCCATTGCAGAGGGGGCTCAGGTCTCTCCTGCACCTCTGGTTAGCCCACCTCTTGCAAGCTAGTACTTCAATCTGTGTCTAGCCTGGTTCTTTCAGGTGCAGGTGGTGGCGACAATCACTACCCTTGTGCTTTTGGGCATTAAGTGAAACAAGGGTTCCTTGAACACATCAGTAGAACTGATAACTGAGATGGCTACTAAGTAACTAACAGGTAGCATATACAGTGTGGATATGCTAGACAAGAGTTGAATCCTGTCCCAGGTGGGAGGGCATATTTTATCATGCTACTGAGAACAGCATGCAATTTAAAATGTATTAATTATTTCTAGAATTTTCTATTTAATATTTTGAGATATTCCATTGTTGATATTTACAGTTGACCACAAAAAACTGAAGCTGCAGAAAACAAAACCGTGGAAAAGAAAATATTTAGCTTATGCTATTTCTAAGACTAAAAGTTAGTTTTATAAACTGTGATTCTATCAATTTCTTTTTCACCATTCTTCATAACTTAAATCATAGCTTCCTTGATTTAATAATCAGGACTGGGTTATTTCCTGGGTGTGGTTGTACCCATGATTTTCAAAGGCATGATACTTTTACTGTTTGTATGCAAATGTTTTCTAGTGATGTAAAAACTTAATCAATCAGTATTTATTGAAATGTCTCCCATATTTACTGTTGCTTGATATAGGTATGGTATTTTATTCCATTTTTCTGTCTTATTAGCCCAGGAGCCTTCAGAAATATTAATTGGCCCAGAACCTTACCCCAGGAACCATACTGATTCCTATATCTAGTAACTGATTTCTTTCTTTTTTTTTTTTTTTTTTTTGAGACAGTCTCATTTGTCACCCTTGGTAGAGCACTGTGGCATCACAGCTCACAGCAACCTCAAATTCTTGGGCTCAAGTGATTCTATTGTCTCAGCTTCCCAAGTAGCTGAGACTACAGGCACTTGCCACAATGCCTGGCAATTCTGAGACAGGATCTCACTCTTGCTCAGGTTGATCTCAAACCTGTGAGCTCAAGCAATCCACCCACCTTGGACTCCCAGGGTGCTAGGATTATAGGTGTGAGTCACTACACCAGGCCTAGCAACTGATTTTTTTTTCCCCAGACAGAATCTCAAGCTGTCACCCTGGTTAGAATGTTGTGGCCTCAAACTCTTAGGTTTAAGTGATTCTCTTGCCTTGGCTTCCCAAGTAGCTGGGACTACAGGCACCTGCCACAATGCCCGATTATGTTTTGGTTATAGTTGTTATTTTTGTTTGCCAGGCCCGGGCTGGATTCAAACCCACCAGCTCCGGTGTATGTAGCTCGTGACCTAGCCTCTGAGCTACAGGCGCTGAGCCCTAGCAACTGATTTTTTTTTTTTTTTTTTGAGACAGTTTCATTATGTCACCCTTGATAGAGTGCTGTGGCGTCACAGCTCACAACAACCTCAAACTCTTGGGCTTAAGCAATTCTCTTGCCTCAGCCTCCCAAATAGCTAGGACTACAGGCACATGCCACAATGCCTGGCTATTTTTTGGTTGCAGTTGTCATTGTTGTTTAGCAGGCCTGGGCTGGGCTTGAACCACCATATTCAGTATATGTGGCTGGCACCCTACTCACTGAGATATGTATGGGCACCAAGCCTAGCAACTGATTTCTAATTGAGGTCTCCACAGTACAAATATTTTCCCTTAAATTCCTCCTTCTTACATTTTTAACATTTTCTCACATTTTCTGCCGGTCTTGGAACCACTTCTAAAAACATAAACCTTGTTAACTCTATTCAAAGATTCTTTTACAAATCAGTTTTCCACAGAGCACTTTCTAAATAAGCATTTTCTTTTTAAATTTCATCAGGGATCTATAAACCATTCTTTACCTACAGAGATCCAAAAGTACCCAATCATTTGCATGACCAGAAAAAAGGACAAAATTGTTTTGATAGATGCATGTATCGCAATTATTTTACATATAGTTTTTATTGGATTTCTGATTTTGTTCCTTAGAATTTTGGCTGTACAAAGATTACAGCTCCATGCATGGAGCTAGAACATATCCTACTTAATAAAGTATCTCAAGAATGGAAGAAAAAATATCCCATGTACTCAGTACTATTATGAAACCAATTTATAATCACTCACACTTTCATATGAAGAATAGATCACAACTATGGCCCAAGATGAAGGACAGAGGAGGGAGGATGGGAGGGGAGGGGGAAAGTCAGATTGAGGGAGGGTGAATTATGGGATCACACTTTGGTGCATAATGTAAGGGTACATGTCAGATCTATTAGTATAGAGTATAAATGTCTTAACATAGTAATTAAGTAAACGAGATGAGGTATATATTAACCAGTGTGATCTAAGCATCCCTAATTCTATATGAAATCAGCACATTGTACCTAATAAATGAATTAATGTATACATGAAAAAAATAAAAAAATCCAAAGATTACAGCCTATTAAAAAGGCTTAATACTTACCTGTTCAAGGACTACTTTTACAAGTAATTATAATTTGCTAAAAGTGAAAATCTAACAAAGTATTGATTATTGTTGGGGTGACTTTTGTTTGATATTAATCATATCTGCTATTATTAACAAACTTCTCACCCTTATATAATACAATCCTTGTTTTATATAAAACATGATTGACGTTAATTTAACTACAGGGACCACTCTCATTCATCGTGAATTAAAATATACCAGAGACTAAACTTTATGAAACTATTGCAAGTATATATGATAGACCAATTAGTATAGTACCTGGCCTTATAGCCAGAAAAAAAAAAAAAAATCAATACTTACAGAATCTCTTAGGTAAAACTTAAGCCATGGAAGAGCTCACATGAATTCAAGTCTACTTTCCTTTATTGGTAGACCCCAGAACGAAAAAATTTTAAAGACTATGAGAAATGTATTAACATGGTAAAACTCCTGCTTGAACACCCAATTCTAAAGGATTTAATGACCAATGCTTATTATTTAGAGTTGTGGAAAATGTTGCTCTTAAATGTGCTCCCAACAAAACATGCTTTACAATGACTTACAAAATGTGAAAGGCTGAGTTGCGTTGACAGCTTGGTGCACTTCAAGTTTTCTCTCTTAAATAAAGTATAAAAGAACTACAATGTCAGAGTCCTTTGGTTTTATTTGCTGGATTAAAAAAGTATAGGCATAAATATTTTTAAAGTCATCTTGATGATATCCCATAAAATAACTCATCAAATGGCTTCTTTCATGTTTCCTGATTATCACTATTCATCAATGTTACTGTTAGCCTTGATTAGTTGAAATTTTCAGAGCAGAATAAAAAAATTTTGTGAACCTTTCTCCAATCCCTGAGAATCAAAATAATTTATAGAAATACTTTATCCTTTCATGAAAAATCTCTGGACAGTAGTCGTGTTCGTTCATTGTTAATAGGGCAAGGCGCAGTGTCATATAGGGTCAATCCATGTAAACTGGCTTCCACCCGTAAAGAAATTTTCTGGAACAGAAAAGAAAATTATATATAGAACTTTTCTTCTTCAAGCAAGATTATGTCTTCAACATGTCTGTAGATTACATTTTGTGATTAGGAATATACATCAATTCTAATGGGTAACAAGAGTGACAAAGCTGTTGTATAGCCAAAGGTATCATCTTTATTACCAATTAATCCAGGAAAACAAGCTTCTCTATTTCATAAGTTCCCTGTTTTTCTCTGGTTTCTACTAAGAATCAGTAAAACTACATCTTGAGAATGTAAATCTACACAGACTTGATGAAAATTCTATGAAAGAACTTCTTGAAACTGGTTTTAGAACCTCACATTTAAGGCTGAGTCTTGCAGCAAAACACTATTTCTCTAAGCCCAGGACAATTTACCTAGAAAGTTACATCATTTTAAAAAGCTGGAGACTATCCTATGGACACTTCTCTTATTTCACAACTACATAAATATAATACTGTGTTTTCTTACCTGAAAATCACGAATGTAAGTCAGGAAAAAACCAAAGAAGGAAACTGACATAGACCATTCAGCTGCAGTTGTAATCATGTGTACCACATAACCCTTGAATGACAGAATAAAAATAAAAAAATAATTTTTGCAAAATTTCATTCACGACCTATACTACTTCTCAAATTTAAAAAATATAATAATTCTTATAAACCAATCTGCCTTATAAAAATCAACCCCTTAATTTACTGAACATACTTAGAGAACTAAAGAGCAGACATTAGGAAGTCTTCCTAATGATATTAGCTATCTTTCTTTCACCTAGAGCAAATAAAATTTCCACTTAAATAACTCAGAGAGAATAAGAGTGTGTCTAGCCTACAGTCAAGGAGTAATGATTGCCTCTCCCAATACCACCAGATTCATAAAATGCTGCTAAGGAGAGTGTAACAACACTCAGGACAACTTAGTAAGTGCTACTTTTAGAGTATTAAATAGCATCTGGGTTATAATTAGGAGAATTTAGTAAATTATGTTCAGAAAGAATTCTTAAAAATAAAATAAAATGCTACTGTGTGGTTTGTGGAAACAGATGAATTCATTTTATTATTTATTTAGTATAAGTCCCTTCTCTTATTCTCAGGACCAAAGATGTTATCTCCATTCAGATATCTACTATATTAGAAGACAAACACAGAGTCCATAATGTATTTCCAGATTAAAGGTAGGAGAAGACACTTTTTTTAACTCAGAAAACAAATATTCTAAAAATAAAAACTCTCAGTTGAGCACATACTATACCCACATTTAGGGGAGTCAATTTCTGAGAAAACCCTTTTGCCATCACAGTTTCTTTGAGTCTTTAAAACATCCACAGATCATAGATTCTACATAACCACTATCATAACTAGAAAATTATCCTAATACGTAACTGATTATTACCAAACAAGCTTATTAGTGATAAAATGAAAAATACTTCAAAAGTCAATGAAAATAGCCATCTTGAATGTAAGTTTTATAGATTCTAAATTCTTACTTTATCCTCAGGGTTCCAGTGGAGTTTCTGTACTATATCAGTCCCAAATTTCCCACTGTACAAAAGTGATGAGCAAGTCAGCACTATAAAAAAATAAGTCAAGGAAGAATCTCAGAAAAGATCTGTAAGTTTAAATTAGATTCAAAACAAAAACCAAGAGGGTTACTCGTATTACCAAAGCCCAAACCCATTTTCTTAAAGACTTAATGTTACACAGCAGTAGTATTACAAAACATACAAAATGCCAGAATATCACTACAAAATGGTACTCATAGTCAACCCCCTCCTTTCCTCAGAAAATTAGCAGTTCAATCAAACTTCTGTTAGATAATTGTTCTTAGGGAGGGCATTACTCTTCTACTTCTTTGAACTGAGTAAAATCAGGCTAAACATTATCTTTGCTCCCAGCTCAATTACTGAGGTCCTATATAAAACCTGAATTTCATGTTTCATATCCTTTAACTTAAGGTTATGAACCTAAGAATTTCTCTTCAAAAAAACAAAACAAAACTCCTTAACATGTGCCAATTATGTTCACTTAAATTCTGTTACTCAATTTTTTCCCAGTAATAGCCACATTTTACAGTGAAGGATACTGATAAGGGCACTTACTCCACACCAGATAACCAACAGGAGTCTGATCCAGAAGACTTGTTTGCCATGAATTTTGGGCTGCATTCGGTAGGAAAGGATGGTCTGAACAAACATATATAATGAACCCATACCAAAAGTGAGCACACCTCCACTAACATGTACAGGAAAAAGGACTGTTTTCTGAGAGACAGAAAGAAGGAATAAGTCAATAGAGAAACTCAGAATACATTGGCAATATAATATTTCAAAGCACAAGCCAGAGATTTTGCTAGGACATTCACCATGCATCTCTGTTGACTCTACAAAAATACTTATTACATGAGGATTATAGTAAAGTCTAATTGTTTCATATGCTACCACTGACGATGACAGTAATTATTCATTTATTCTTTTACTCTTTTTTTTTTTTTTTTTGAGAGAGAGTCTCATTATGTCACCCTCGGTAGAGTGCCCTAGCATCTCAGCCACCTCCAACTCTTGCCTCAGCCTCCCGAGTAGCTGGGACTACAGGTGCCCACTACAACTCCTGCTATTTTTTTTTTTTTTCCTGGTCGTAGATGTCACTGTTTGGCAGGCCTGGGCTAGATTCAAACCCACCAGCTCAGGTGTATATGGCTGGCACATTAGTTGCTGAGCTATAGGCAGGGACCCTACTCTTTTACTTATTTAATAGTATGTTTATTAGGTGCCTATTCAGTGCTAGGCACTATTCTAAGTCTTCAGATACATTAGTGAATAAAATAGACAAAAATCCAGCCCTCATAGAATTTAGTGAAGATATACAAACAAGTGTTGGGTGATGTTCTTTCTCACGGGGAGAGAAGGACGGCTTGGCCGCAGGTGCAAGCTCGCTCCTAGAATTGTTTAAAAGCAAGAAATGACTACACACTCTTAGGTGGCATGTAGCAAAATGTCTTTATTTTCTACTCCTTTTTATTGGGAGCTAGTCACGTACACCACATTGATCGATAATCCTAACATCCTCATTTCTTATCTTAAACTATAAAAAAGAAAGAAAGTCCAGGAATGTGAGATAGCCATCATAAGATCAGCCTAAAGAAAGAAAATCCGGGAAAGAAAGACAACCATCTTAAGCTAGCCTCAGGCTATTCCTCTTGGAAGATCTAAAAGAACAATACATTATCTGACTTCTATTGTTAAAGTTAAAGGTTAGGATAAACAGAGGAGTAAAACCTTTCTCTTCTATGTACTCAATTAAATTTCCGAGAAACTGGCTTCATGACTGTTTTCTTATGGCTTTGGAGACCCTGCAGTTACGATGGAGTATTTTACTCGACATCATTACGATGGAGTTTTTCTTTTTACTCACATCAACCTTTGAGTCATGTCCTCTGCACAGATGGGCGGTTTCAACCCTTATCTGACAGGCTGACTTGACTGCACAGTCGGGGTTACCTGTAAGAGGTTTTTACGCCTGGCTTGCAGGCCCCCACCTTGTTTTCTCAGGTCGTTTAGGGCCTCGACAAAAGCACATAATACTCACAAGTCTTTTCGCTCAGTTCTGGAATTAAAAGAGCACATTTTGGAGCACTGCCATTTGGAAATCTTCTATGCCGTAAGCTCCCGGCCGATGAATAAAGCCCTTCCTCTTATTAAAAAAAAAAAAAACAAAAAAAAAAACACATTTCATTTAATTTTTGTGGGGGTTTACCCCACAAACAAGCAATAAACTTTAGAAATCAAGAAATTCCACAGTATGTTAGATGTTGATAAGGGTCATAGAAAAGGTATAGTGGCAAGGTAAAGATCAGGATGGCCTAAAATACTGGAAATATCGAGTTTCAATTTAAATCTGATCTAAATATAAATAAAATTAATATTTCAAAATAGCCAAGAGAATAATTTGAATATCTCTAGCATAAAGACAGTTATTTAAGGTGATTTAAGCTATTCCATTACATTGATCTTTACAAATTACCCCCAAGTATGTACATCTATTATGTATCAAAAGATAAAATTAAAGTGAAAAATATATATATCCCTTAACAAAATGAAGACAAAAACAAGAGAAATTTACAGAGGTTTATGGGTGGTCAGAAGCAAATCTCTGATATAAAATTTTAAGTTATATATTGAATGATCTGTAATCTTTACTTAAAAACAGTCAATGAAACTTAGGAACTAATCTTCTTCTTACTTATCCTTACCCTTTTCAAAATTTTCTAGGAAGAGGATGCCACATAACAACACATAAATTCCATAAATTATGGAGTGTGCTGTCACAAACCAAGGAACATCAAAGATTACTGGCAACTGCCAGAAGCTAGAAAAAGATTCTTCCTCTGAGTCCCCTAGAAAGAGTCAACCCTACTAACACTTTGATTTCAGACTCCTGGCTTCCAGAACTTTGGGAGAACACATTTATATTGTGTTAAGCTACCCAGTTTGTGGTAGTTTGTTATGGCAGCTCTAGGAAACCAAAAAAATTTCTGCCTATAAATCCCTTACCAATCTCCTTGAGAATACATTTTCTAGGAAGGGAAAAAATAACTCTAAGTGGACATTGAGGACATTTACCACACATTTGTTTTGCTAAACACTGTATGTACACTTGCTTTTCAAAGAAATTATATTTATACAATATTTCTTGTTAGCTTTTTTTCAAATACCATATTATAGTGATTATTAGGCATCTCTTTAAATGCAATGAGAATTTTTTCCAATCCAGCTTAGTCCCTTTAACCTCTCCTAAGATCCTAAATAATTAACAAGAGCATGTTTGTGCTAAGTACCATGCTAGGTGTTAGAGATATAAAAGTGAACAAAACCACTGTGCTTGTAATTAGTGGAAAAATATATCAATTTTAAAAAATTGAAAAATAAATTTAAACAATCATTGACATAAAATTAGACTGTAATAAGAGCTATGAAGATTCAGTTTATGGAGGCTTGAAAAACACATACACACAAATATATATATGGCAGCAAAAGCTGACAGAAAAGACTTCCCTGAGCAAGTATGGTCTATGCTGAGACCTGTGTCTATTTAGCTTGGTTGTCGTGGCATACCAAAGGAAATGGCATATATGGGGTTGGACAATTAAGGTCATGAACTCACTGTAGAAAAAGTGCTACATTCAGCTCATTGCTGAATGGTCACCTTCAAAATACTCCCCTTGGTCATCTGGTAACCCCCGTGATAGTCATCAGTGAGGTGTGCAGAACTTTTTCTAGGAAGAGTTTGCAAACTTAATTGTCCAACCTCATAAAAAGTAGTTAAATAAGCCTACACAATGGAGACATTAAGAAGGGGAATGATGCAGAATAAGACTAAAGAGGTAGACATAGGCCAAGATCTTTGAGTTGATTAGATAGTTTGGCAGTTCACCAAATTATGTTTTCCTCTCTCAATTATCTCTTTTGATGCAGTTTTAGGAAGCAAGGTAAGAGGTATATATATTTTTAAAAAAACACTTTGACTACAGTATGAAGAAATGATTAAAGCAATGTGAATGCAGAGGAACCACTGAGGGAGGCTATGGCAGTAGATCAGGTGAGAGATGATGAAACCTAAATTGATAGAGAAAATGACAGTAATGAGGAAAGTAAACATGATAATGGAGAGAAGTGGACATATTCAAGAGGTAAAAACCAGTAAGTTCCTATTCTGTTTAAAACATAGTGCAAACTTCCCTTCTAAGCCAAGGTCTGTAATGGCAAACCATTTATAACCTAGTCTGTGGACAGTTTTTCCTATATAAATCAACTGGAGTTTGTCCCTGTGAAAGAGGGAAGAGGAAGAGGAGGAAATGCATTCATCAGTTTTAAATAAGTAGGGAAAGTTTACATTAAAAAGGAAGAAGAGTTACAAGAATCTGCTTATAAGCAGGGCCCAGGGATGAAGCCATCACTGAAAGATGAAGAGGACATTCAAAGATGTATGAAGAAATGTAATCAGGAGAGAAAAAGTAACTTGATTCAAAATAACAAGGCCACAAGGACTCCTGAGATAAGGTAAATTAGAATGAAAGCTGAAAACAACAAAAGAAAGATATAAGCTGTCTTAAGTGAATGAGATTAAGTTGGAAAGGCAGCTAGTGTGTTTGCTATCAGGAGCTGCTATTGGAATTTACTGGGTTGTGCAAACAAATATTTCAGATTCCTTTTTACCATATGCATGATGAGAAATACTGTTAAATTGATCAAGAGAAAACTGAAGCAAAGAATCATTACCCATAGTAGTGATACCCTCATAATCTCTGCACACTACCCATAAATTCCCCAGAACACTTTCACTGAGCTATGGAAACTTTTTAGAAAAGGCAGGAAGGACCCTATTTGTGGCATAGACAGCTAGCTAGCTGTGCACCCCAAATTTTTGTTTTCCTAATGCCCAGCAAAATGATATTTTTTTGGTAGAGCCCTGGCCTGCCTGCATTCCTCCCTCTCCACCACATCTAGCAAATGAATGCCAGTAGAATGACATGAGTCACTGTCAGGTGACAAAAATTCTCTCCTTGACCAGTTCTACTCAGGTTCCTCTGAACTCTCTTTTCAACCAGGCTGTGACTTTTGGGTTTCTGTGTTTGTCTCCACATTGTTCAATTTTAGCAAGAACCCTATGAAGTCAGTTTAGCCAGAATTCCTTGTCCTCTGTATCTGATCACTCTCAATATCTGGGTTCCTCAACCTCCACTATCCCCCAAGTGATGTCTTATCACACTGGCCTCTCCTCCAGCAAGAATCCTGTTAGGTCAGTACTGTATTTTGGGTGTTTGTCCCCTTCAAATCTCATGTTGAAATCTGATTCCCAATTTTGGAGATAGGAGCATAAAGGGAGGTATTGGATCATGTAATTGGATCCCTTATAACTAATGCCTTGGGTACAGGTGTGTGAGGTCTTGCTCTATTAGTTCCTATGCAAGTTGGTTGTTAAAGATAGCCTGGCACTTCACCCCTTGCTCTCCTGTTCCCTCTCTTGCCATGTAATCTCTGCACACACCATCTCTCCTTCACCTCCTGCCATGAGTGGAAGCAGTCTGAAGCTCTCACCAGAACAAGATGCTGCTGACATGCTTCTGAAAAATCATGTGTCAAATAAACCTCTTTTCTTTATAATACCCAGCCGCAGGTATTCCTTCAAATGAACTAAGATAGTTACTTTAGCCAGAATCCCTCATTACTGCTAATGTCCAGACTAGAAATTTACTATCCACTGAAATTTACCCCCACCCTGTTCCTTAGCTATAAATTCCCTCTTTTCCTTATATTGGAGATTCAGCCCAAAAGCTGACTGCTACTTTAAGTATTTATTTCATTATTTCACCCTAAGAAAAAGATAGAAGAGGTACAGATATTCCCTTTATCTCCTCTGTTAGGTTAGGCACCTAAGAATGCAGGCAATCAAAGAAACATCTAAGCAAGTAGATAAAATGGGTAAATAACTGTACCTTGTTAGGCATATTAAAAACTGTTAATTGTGTCACTTATAATTTATATCAATTCTATTTGGTCTTGAAGTAATCTCTAACCAATAATATAGAGTCTAATAATTGTCCTGTGGATCCTAAGAAAGTTAGAATAATTTGTATTTATTTTGATTATTAAATGTGTATTTTTCTAATTGTGAAGGTAGCTATTTCTAAGAGAGCCAAATAATTTAAAGGCAGTTAACTCTATTTTGTTAAGGTAAAGAAAAAATAATAGCATGCAACTATTTCAGATTTTGTTTTTAGTGTATATATGTGTATTCTTCAGGAAAATACTTATCTGGGCTAAAATACAAACCTGGAAGTTTGCCACAAGAGAAAGTCCTAAACAACTCAGTATTCCAAGTATAAGGCCAGCCTTGTTTAATTTGATGATACAGTTCTCTTCAGGATTCAGAGCATGAACTTGCTTATAACGAACATAAATGGTAGCAACACCTGGGAACAGATAACCCCCCAAATGACAAAATAATAACTAAGAAATAGCTGCCAATGAAGAGTTCACAAAAGTGACTCCTAGGATTTTCCTTTTATAATTAATCTGAGAGAAAATAAAAACAGCTGTAGGTTGTTTTTTTTTCATAGAGATAGAGGTCTTGCTATGTTGCCCAGGCCTGAGTCAAACTCACTCAAGCAATCTTCTTATTTCAGACATTTGAGTAGCTAGGACGTCCTATAGGTTTTTTAAAAAATCTTAAAGTTTTATTATAAAAGTACTGATCTCTCCCCATGATAGCAAATAATTAGCCTTCCATGGGTCTCACATTTGCAAATACAGCAGAACCTCCATAGTTGATCACCTGTTTAAACTGACCTAATTTTCATAGACATGTGCCATATGTACTCAATGGAAATTCCTTGTGTTGATCACCTTTGTATGTTGATTAGTTTGTTACAGTCCCTTGGATGGTCAACTTACAGAGGTTCTACTGTATTTAGGATAAAACTTAGATCTTAAGTTTGATGTTTTCTCAAAATTTCTAATGACAAGTTACACAAAACACAAAATATTTTTACAATAAGCACCAAATCAAAAGTAACTACCTCTAGAATGTGGATAAAATGGACCTAAGCAAAACAAACAACAAACAAAACCCAAAAAGTTTATTTGCCTCATCTACGTATTTCAAATTACAACTTAGCCCAATCAGATATAGTAGCCAATTATAAAGGAAAAAAGCCCACCTTACCTATCTGCGAGTCAAGAATGGGACAAATTGAATTTTCTATTGCAGAAATATTGTCAAGAACTCAGCAGTGTAGAAAACATAACTGAGATACACTTTTGTAGACATGTTTCTGAAGAGTTTAGTCACAAAAGTGAATTTCTGTAAATTGAATGATCTTCCATTTTTGACCCAAGCAAATAAAATAGAAAAATGCAATTTTTTAAAATATTTACACGTGATAGGAAAAACATTTTAGTAAACCATTAATAAAAATTTGTTCAAAATAAATAAATAGAAATGTAAAATATTGTAGTAGCAATACATTTGGCATTATTATATTACTCAAATATCAAAACATGATTCTACTTCTATTCTCAAACATCTAAACTGTTTACCTGAAAGGAATTTAGTTGGGATTAGTTGTGGTCAATTGTGTTTCCTACTGGTTGCTTAAGAAGCCCCAAGAAATATATGGTTATACTTTACTTAACAACTTCTATTTGAATGAGTTCTCAAATAGCTCTCTCTATATTTTTTAAAGACTTCTGTAATTTAGCATTCTAGAAAAGGGTTTTCTTTTATAACTGTGATCAATAACTGATAACGTTTATTCAAGTATAACTAGAAAATGAAACAAGGAAAACAATAGTGTTTAAAGGAGAAAACACAGTAGCAATTTAGCTATTAACTTTTATTATTAAAACCACTCTCGTTACTTACCTAAAACTGCAGTGATATTGAGCATTGCCCCAAACAAGCATTTTTCTGGAGCTACTGTACCAGTGTCACTGAAAGAAAAAAAAGGAAATATGGGTTTCTCACATTAGATATACACAAGGATTTCTTCTAAGGGATAAGAAGTAACGAGTTACTTCAAACTCTTTATCTTATGCATGCCTATGAGCTTAACTCTCACATCAGTTTCTTAAGGAGAACATAACAATTTGAGCTCACAAATACTTGCCTACTTCACTTTCTACTCACATCATTTAAGATTTTTTTTTCCTACACAATAGAAATCTATATAAATTAGCCTTAAAAAGCTATCCCTGGTATGTTAACACTGTGCTATCAACTAGGCAGATGAGTTTATCTGTCCCACCAGAAGAATATCCCCCTAAAAACCACAGGCCCTTTCATAACTCTGTCTTTTTAGACCTGTTGTTGACTCTGAGTATAGTTCAATTAATACATTTTCACCTACTGATCAATCTAAAAAATATTTACCAAGCTCTTACCATATGCTAGACACCATTTTAGGGCTAGGAATATAGAGGTAAGTGAAACAGATTGATGCCCTTGGCCTTAGGCGGCTTCCACTCCTGACCAGTTTTAAGCTCTCTCCCCCGTAAAGCCTTGGACAACTCCTCTAGCACACTGTCCAGACTTTCATTAAAATCACTTATCACACTGTACTGCAATGTATATTTAAATTCCTTTCTTTCAGGGTAGTAGAAAATAAGGACCCAGATTAAAATCCCAACATTTTTTGTAAGACCTTGGATTCAATCTTTTAGATAAAAGATTTTAAACTGCTTCTTCATTTGTAAAATGGGGCTACTCATTCCCTCCCAACCTCATTGGAGCAATACAAGCATGAAATAAAGTGTGGTAATGTATGTTAAGTATCTAGTATACTAAGTAGCAGGCTCAGAGGAGCCATCCATTAAATATGAGTTATTTCCTCTTCCTTCAAACTACTATAAACATTAAAAAGACAAAGTCCTGGCCTTCAATTGCTGTCCTATTGGAAAGAGAAAATCAGGATCTCAACAAAGACAATGGAATGGAAATAAAAAAGAAGTAGAAAGGCATGTTTCTCAAGGAATCAGTAAGATTTGGTGAACAGCTGGACTGGGGGGGTTAAGTAAAAGAAAAAGTATTAAACATTTAAGTAATAAACATAAATTGTAAGGGTCGGATCCTTATAATTCCATGAGTCATTCTCTTAAAAAATTAAAATGTGCAGGGAGCCGGGAGCGGTGGCTCATGCCTATAATCCTAGCATCCCAGCACTCTGGGAGGCCAAGGCAGGTGGACTGCCTGAGCTCACAAGTTCAAGACCAGCCTGAGCCAGAATGAGACCCCCGCCTCAAAACATAGCCAGGCATTGTGATGGGTGCCTATGGTCCCAGCTACTTGTGAGGCTGAGGCAAGAGGATCACTTGAGCCCAAGAGTTAGAGGTTGCTGTGAGCTATGACTCCATGGCATAGCACTCTACCAAGGGTGACAAAGTGAAATTCTGTCTCAAAAAAAAAAAAAAAAGAAAAGAAAGAAAAGAAAAGGGCAGTGCCTGTGGCTCAAAGGATTAGGGTGGCCCCATATGCCAGAGGTGGTGGGTTCAAACCCAGCCCCGGCCAAAAAGTGCAGTGACAATGGAGAAACAAAAAATAAACAATTATAAAATAATAAAATGTATTTTTACATACAAAAGATTTTGTATCGCTTCTTAGCCTTTGGGCTAAGATCAAGTGAAGATTTTATAACTCTCTGATCATCTTCAGGAATTGAGGAATAAAGAGTTTTTCTATGCCTTCTACCTTTCAAATTTTCTACAATGTGTATGTATTATTCTTTTAAAAAGTCAATATTTTTAATAGTTGCATTCCAAATGATGCCACTGTTTTGGATGACCCCAAAATAAACAAAGGGCATGCATTTCCAAGAGGGTTGGCTAACAGTGTTCCTTCTTTTAACAGGGGAACAAAATAACATTAAGTGGCCTAAAATGAAAACAGCCACGCCCATCACCTTATTAGCAAAGTACTATATCCCAGTAATCACCAAACTGTTTTGATCTCATACCACCCCCAAAAGAATCTGACCATATAACTTCAAAATACATGTATTTATTATATTATTGTTCCATATATTAAATACCAGTAAGGCTTAAATATTTTTAGATTAAAAAGCAAACCTAGATATTATAATATCTTCTTCTTATACCCCAGTGGAACCAACTAAGAGAACACATGAAGTATACTTGCAGTGAAACTGCTTTTGAAATGAAATTTACATTTGGTTACATCTTTTGGGGCTATAATAACGAAACCTTTAGGACAGCATTTATGAATGGAAAGGAACTTTGCAGAGTATCTATTATAGTTTAATCCTTCTGCAGATAAAGGAAGTGAACTTGAGAACTAAACATAAGTACTAGATTAATATATGTATTTAAATACATATTTTAGAATTCTGTGGAAAGACTCCAGGGTAATGCTAAGTTTGTTTCTAGAAAAAGAGAAAAAAAGAAAGAGAGGGTTGGGAAAGGAAGTGACTAGGGTACTATTAACAAAATCACAGGCAGTATCATCAGGGAACTGAAACTCTGAGAAAAAACCCAATCACTTCTTAAATGATTACATCTTCCCTTGGTATGTGTGGGGGACTGGCTCTAGTATGTGCCTTCAGAAACCAAAATCTAGCAATGCTCAAGTCCCATACATAAAATGGCACAGTATTTGCATATAACCTACGAACATCCTCTTGTGTATTTCTATAATCATCTCTGAATTACCCAACATTATAAACTACACATCACTTCATTTGTGTGGATTCAAGAAGTACTTGGCAAATGGCAAATTCAAGTTTTGCATTTTGGAACTTTTTTTTAAAATGATGTTATCTTTATTAAAATGTCTTTTCTTTGACTTCATAGTGTATTAGTATACATGAATACTTTTGGTAACTATAAAGAAATATTGTTAAAGATGACAAAATAATAATCAACTTGAAGGTTATCAACACCTGGGGGTTCCTCTTTTTTCTTTTTTTTTTCCTTTTATTAAGTCATTTACACATAGATCATGAATATATTTATGCACATGTGGGGTATAATGTGTTGATTTTTTTATACAATTTGGAGTGCATACATCAAACTAATTAATATAGCTTTCACCTCATTTGCTTGACTATTGTGTTAAGACATTTATGTTCTATACTTGATAGATTTGACTTGTACCCTTGCAATATGTTCCACAGGTCCCACTGTTTACCTTCCCTCTATCTCAAAACTTTATGGAATTTTCTTTGCCAGAATATTTTCAATCTGCAGTTGGTTGAATGCATGAATGTGGAACTCATGGAGTGATGACTTTAGTAAAGCTCTTTAAAATGAAAGCAGACAAGTACTAAGAAGAAAAAAAAATAAAGTGAAGAACCTCCATCAATCTTAATATGTGTCTTCTCTTGGAGTTAATAAATAATGGTCAGGCTCCTTAAGCTTCATGTTTCTCTAGCAGAATGTAAAGTTCTATGTTTGAGATCTTCACTAGAGCATTGTTTGTAACAGCCAGAAAAAGGGGGAGAGAAGATAAACAAGCAATATCAATATGCTATCATTTTTTATAAATGAGACAAAATGAAAAGCCCAAAAAATGTTAAAAGAAAAAAAAGAAGAAAAGAGAGAGAGAAAAAATAAAAAAAAAAAAAAAAAAAACAAACCAAACTCTGGAAGGAAACCTACCAAACTATGAGTCATTTCTGAACTGCTAGGGATCAGAAAGGACTTTCACATTTTATTTTTATAATCATTCTGGTCTTATTTAAAATTTTATTCTGATAATTACTTCCTACTTGTGTAATTGGGGAAAAAAGGGTATGGATAGAGTATATACAATTAAGTACCCACCTTTACATCATCACTAGTTGTGAGATTTCAAAAATATTACTGATAAATTTTGACACTTAACATGTCAAAAATATCTCGGCAGCATGCCATAAAGAATATGAGCACAGCCCCCAGAGTCAAATTGCTCTCATTTAAATCTTGGTTCCAACACTAACTGAGTTATGTGCCCTTGAGCAAATAACTTAACCTCCCAGACCTCATTTCTTCCTCTCTCAAATGAGGATAATAGTTCCTATCTCCTATAAGACAAAGAGAAGGCTCACATTACCCTGTACATTGTGAGTAGATCAATAAATGTTTATTACCACTGTCTTTTCATATTTTTATTGTTATTTCTAGCATTTGAATTTTAAGAGGAGATTAATTTCAATTCTATCTTCTGAGATAACCTCAAGTCCTTATTTGGGAATCAGGGTACTAAAGAATCACAATTCAATTCACTCACTCAATCTTATTCTGCTGTTTCCACATTTCTCTAGCATGCAGAAAAAACCAAATTCAAGTTCCTTTTTATATTCCCTTTATGGCTGTAATGCCAATATAAAATCTGATCTCTAAAAAGTTGACATTAAATGTTCGTTTAACATTAAAAGGTTGACATTAAATGTTAAAATAAAAATGAGACAAAGATTCTTCTATACAAAGAATACATCCCACTGACCTGATGTAAGGCAAGGCAGGGTCTACATGGTGAAGCGTTATTGCAGTAATGTATGAAAACATTACAGCAGCAGATGTCCAAATTACAAGAGCTGAAGGAAGAAAACTGAGGCCTTGCTGAAACCACCACATTTTCAACAAGTCTTCTGAAATAGAAACATTGGAAAAGATAATTCATGAGGGTTTCCTCCATCCTACTCTAGCCATCCACATTCTTCTTCACATTCATAGTAAATGGAACCAAGACACACCAACTTGACACAGCCACAAACTTTCTGTCCTATCGCCCCACACATAATCAAGTACCATATACTATTTATTCTACTTCCTACATTTCTATCAAATATACCCCTTCTCTTTATCTTACTACCACTACTCTACCTAAATAACCATCATCTCCCGGATGGATTATTATCATAACTTCCTAAAGGGTTCTTGTGATATTGTGAAATATATATGTATTTGTTCTTTCTTAATCCCACTTCTAGGCAAAAAGC